AGAAAGCATTATTTTGTTGCAACAATGTATCAAACATTTATATTTTTAATCTTATTCGAAATCGCATATACTTTTCCAAAATATCTATTAGAAATTCCAAACGGCTTCCAGGTCCCCGATCCATGTCCATCAGCACACAGATCTTTTACAGCAGTTGGTCATTGGCAGAGAGCACCACATATGGATACGTTTTCTTTACATAGAGGAATATTCAATGCGTTTAAATTTGAGAGAAATCCGTTTGGATCCGTAAGTATCGATTCTTGTTTTTTACTATTTCAGTATATCTGATAGGCGTTTTACTTCGAATCAGATGCTCGTTCTATTGCCAAAATGCACTGAAATTGCGTTGTACTGATTTCGATTTTGTTTAGATAATTGTTGGTTGCTGGAAAAAAAAACATGTTATTAATTGACGTTGAAAATAACGAAATCAAACAAGTTTCTCAACTGTAATTTATTGAACAATTATAATATTTCAATATGTTTCATAACTTTAAAATAAATTAGCAATGTTTCCGCAATGTGTTATATTCAACACCGGACAATAACTGAATCCAACAATCACTTTGCATGATTTTATAGATCATAATCATTCAGTTTTGTTCAATATTCCGAATTTTTTTTCTTTCAAATACTCAATGTCAATTGACATAGAAAACATATATCAAACAAGCAGGGTTTCTTAAACTGTAAAATACGTACACAATGTTACCTCAATAATAATATGTATCACTGGACGATGAATAAATCCAACTATCACTTTAATAGGAAGGTATTCATAAAAAATAACTGTTTTGTTCAAAATTCCTGAAAGTTTTCCTATCACACTTAAAACCGACAGTTTTGGGGAAAATTACTGATACTTGTTTCATTTGGCAAGGATTCCCATCGATTTGTTTGTTATTTGATGTTACATATCGATACTTGTTAAAACTTAAAGCAACAGAGGGAAATTTAGGTGAGAGCGTTATATTAATAACAAATGAGTTAAATAAGGAAATGATACAGAATTAGATTTGGACATGTGTTTTCAGTGTTTTTGACAACATATTAAAAATGGTGATTTTTACATTACAATGTCTACATACAATGAAATGTCATAAAAATTTATAAGTCGAAATTTCGTTCTTTATTTCACTTCCAAATATCATTTGTATATGAGGTGCTTGCAATACAGTTTTTGTCTATGAAAATAATTATTTCTACCACAAATAAAGATGTATTTTTACAGAAAAAATAAATCCTTAAAACTGGAACAGATCTGTACTTAATTCTTCTATATTTTCGTTTCTAGTTTACAAATGTATATACCCGAATTTTGTTTTTTGTTGTAGCTTTAATTGCAGATAGTTTACGTTGTCAATTCTTTAGATATATGTCAAACTCATAATCTTTTTTTTCCCTAAATTTAACTTTTCAAAATTTTAAATAGATTTTTTTTTAGTAGTATGTTGGGCATAAAAGTTATTTTTCATTTGACATCAGAAAAATAGTTTGCATAAGAAAGTCATAAAGTTGTTGATTGTACTATTTGGGTTAGGCCACCATAAGCAACTCTTAAATTTAATTTTTAAGTTTCAACAGGTAATTGCAAAATTCCATGTTTGATCTTGATCAAGTCTACTCCCCTGCAACTCTTTGGCCAACTAAAATTTATCTATTTATGCTTTCAAATGTTTATATATTTGTCCTTTGTAATTTAAAGTGAAAGGCGTACCTGATGAATAATACTTGTAAAAATGATAACAGGAAATACCACGAATACCAGACAGTATTACAAACCACAAACATCTGACTCTTTGAAAAAAAAACCAACATACAAAAATAAACAACACATGGCTAAGAAAGCCTAATTCACTTCCGTTACAAAATGTGATGATATGATAGGAGTAAACAGCTACCTAGAAAACAACAACAACAAAAAACGCAGAGAATCTACCACCAGGATGACAACTAACTTCTTAAACATGTTTTTTTAAACAAAAATAGAAAAAACTTTTGATGCTCAAAAAGGGGGAAATTTGCTCATTTGCTCATTGTATTCTGTTCATCTTCACAACATTATAACAACCTTTTTAAAACTAAAAGATTGGCAATTTTTTCTTTTAATAAATTGATGAAATGACTATTTTAACACTTCAAATTTATTAAGGAGTATATCATTGAGGCTACAGATGTTCAAATCTTATAAATCCATTAAGATACAGGAATGGCAGTCGTTCCCTATAGTTAATAAAGTGATCATTAGATTCCATCATAGACAAAAATGTGTACGTCATATACGTGGTTCGTCTACATCAGTATCGCTCGAGTTAAAAAGGCAAAATAAAGTACGAAGTTGAAGAGCATGGAGGACCCAGAATTTTCCTTTTTTGGACGATGATGTTCCCTTGTTCCAATCTTTTGGTGTTTAAATATCCCAACGCTTTCGCTATATCCGTGTAGGTAATGACATTATGATTTCAACGGAAGTAACTTATGTATTACTAGTAAAATGTTAAGTTAAGAGTTTTAAAACTACATATTCCTTCAAATATTTACTAGATCCTTTCATAGATTAAAAGATTTGGTTCGGAAGTTACGATCATATTTGAAACTTATAAACGGGATAGCACATCAGCATTTTTACAGTAAAGTTGTTTATCGAGCCCGTAAACTTAGATGCAATCCGAGTAAACTTATCAAAGGTACCAACAAAACACTGTAATTAGATCTACTTTGAATATTATTTTATCGGTATTTTGTTAAATCAAAACCAAACTAAGTATTACGAACATTCCTACATTTTGTCGATACATATATTTTGGCATTGAACAAGATCATGATTTTTTTCTAACTGTTAATGACATCTTTCTATCAAACCCATTGGATGTTGGATATGTTCTGATTGATATTTAAGTCTTATATACAAGATGGTTTTATTAGTTGTTATTGGCTTTGAACTAGCTTTCAGTAACTGAGAGTACTCCCAGAACTGTACTTTCCGTGTCTAGTGTATTTGATAGTTGTAGAAGTCGGAAGCCTGTAATTCAGTGGTTGTCGTTTGCTGCTGTATATCCTAGTTATTTCGTTTATTGTGTTCTTAAATAAATTAGGTCGTTAGAAATATCGTTTAGAACTGCTTTACAATTGTCATTTCGGGTCATTAAATAGCTTGTTATACGGTATGTGTTTTGCCCATTATTAAAGGCCGTACGGTGACCTATATTTACTAACCTCTGCGTCATTTGGTCTCATTGGCAATCATACAACATCCTGTTTTTATTTGTACAAAAAACCCGACCTTTTGGTAAAATATGGTCGTGACTATCGATTTGACTCAAGTAATCCGATGTTTGAGGTGATACCTGTTTACAATTTTTAAAAGTCGTATTTGTCTGCTTATGGGTTGATGTTACATATTTTTATATTATACACGTCCCGGCAAAAATGTTACAGCGCCATTTTAAACAGATTATTTCCGTGTAAAATTTACAATGTATATTATAGAATAAAAAATATAGGTCGAAAGGTGATGTGTCCTGGTTTACATTTTACATATTTATAACGTCTGTCTGTCATTCATAAACTATTTACAGCAATTAAAACTACAATAAACTAGTTAAACAGGTGTCTACTTTGATAAGAGTCATCAGTGACTACATTTCTCCTTGTCAGAAAAGAGGGTGATTATTTTCCTGTTGACTCAAATGTAAAGGTCATCTTTGAAAACACATGATGTAGGGGAAATTTTACTGATGATTGACAAGGATAAGAAATAAATCTGTAATGTCACTTTGAAAACTAGGCTATGTATTAAACATTAAGTACAGTAAAGCATATTCATTAGATACGGACATAATATCATTTTATTTTGCTTTCCATTTAAAGTTGTGGAATTTTCTAAAAATAGATAAAACTGCGAATGTATATTAAAAAAATATATCTAATATATAAAATTACCTTAGCTGTATTTGGCAAAACATTTTAACATGATATCTTGTCAGTGTCTTCATCCCCATTTATTCTCTCTCTTTATTTATTGGTAAAATCAGAGGCTTAATATAAGCAATTTATCCTGAAATGCAGACAATAATTTACGATGCAATATGGCCGAACTTTGTATAGATAAGTACACATTGATTAAAATTTGATCTTTAACTTCATTAAAAGAGAGGCGAAGATACCAAAGGAACATTCAAACTCATAAGTCGAAAATAAACTGACAACACCATGGATAAATAAGAAAAAGGCAGACAAACAACAGTACACAAACACAACATAGAAAACCCAAGACTGAGCAACACGAACCTATTTTTGATATGTCATTAAGGGTTATATGCATTTATAGGTAGTCAAATGTACAGGGACGAATCTCATTTTGTTAATAGTGAGGCGGAAGATACCAAAAAAATATTCAAACTCAAGTCGAAAAGAAACAACAACGTCGTGCAAAAAACACGAAAAAAACAATCAACAGACAAACAACAGTCCACAAAACAAAACAAAGAAACTTTAGACTGAGCAACACCAACCCCGCCAAAAACCGGAGGTGATCTGGAAGGATAAGCAGATCCTGCTCCACGTGTGGCACCCGTCGTATTGCTCATGTTCACTTGTTAAATTCATATTAATTGTGAAGATATTCTTATAAATTAAAACGATTGATTCTGTCTGTTAGTTTTTATTGCTCAACCTCACCATTCTTCGACATATATTTTTGACAGAGATTTGGTCAATATTCTGCTAACGCTACTGTATAAAGTTGATTATGTCTTCATATGAAAATGAACATGATACCACTAAATACCTTAAGAAAATCAAATAAAAAATATTTCTTCAAACATCTCTCTTTTATGAAGTAGATAGAAATATAAAATGATAAAGAACGGCTTTTGATGTGTCGCAAAGTCATGTAAATGTGATACTTATGCAAAAATAGATAAAATCATATGTCCATATACATGAAACGTTTATACTTAATAAAGCTATTACTTGTTTTCGATTTTTCTAGGATTTCCAAACGCTCAAAGGTAACTGGTCGTTGCTTTGTAGCAAAGACAGCGACGGTGATATGAAATCAAACGGCGAAGAATTAGGCGACCCATATTGTGTTTGGACTAAAGGAATGAAACCTGAAGGTCCTGCTACAAGTCATCCAGGTAAATATTCTATGTGTGATCATTTGGGAATTATAATTATTTAATGCACAAAAAAACGAAGACAGCCTAATATTTTAAAGTACATGGGTTTTATTCACAAGTTTTATGTTTTATAGGGAAGCGAATAAGTTCTTATATTGTTCATTTAATAATAGAGAGGATGGTGTATTAAGGGTGCTTCTCCTTAATAAAAGATACCAGGCTCATAATTCATAAACAGACTTATGCCTTTGCCTAACAGTTGGCCAATGCCATCATCAGTAAAATAAGATAAATAAACAAATTTTGGTATTTGATGTATAAATAACGCTATGCAGACCATCACTCTTGTCATGTTATCATAAGCATAGTCATAAAAACTCAATCAAGATACCAGGCTTATAAATTAGTTCGTCTATACACGACTCCTCAGTGATGCTTGGACCAAATCAGTTACAAATTGAAGGATCATTGTAAACAAAACATTTCAATATTCGACAAAACTCTTTGTAGAAGAAACTTTTGCGCGCCTTGTTTACTAAATTATAGATTAATAAAGTATTAAAAAATCTATATGTAAGGATTAATAGTAGCATGCAACATTGATTTTTACGTAGTATATGGGGTTTTTTTTTTGAATTTGATGAGCAGAAAATTTAAAGAACAGGACAGTGCAAAATGTCACTAGCAGTAGCGTCGTCCCATTGGTTGTAAAATCGCACTTAAATACCTGGCATAAATTAGTAAACAAGGTACGCCAATGTTTTTTCTACAAAACTCATCAGTGTTGCCCGGTTTAAAATAGTTTGAAGGCCAGAAATTTTAAGAACTATAATAAAGATTAATGAAGTATTAAAAAATTAAAAAGTCTATATTTAAGGATTAAGAAAAGCATGCAACATTAATTTGAACGTAGTATATAGAAGCCAGAAATATAAAATTAACGAAAAAATAAACATGCCATATTCAGTGATATAGAATCGCCCACGTGTTACAATAAGTTTTAAATCTACGATGTGTACTTATATAACTGAAAACGTTTAACCGACATGACTAAAGAAAGGCACGAAAAGGTAATAAAACGGGACGCGGATAGAGGGGAACAGATGTAGCGAGTTGTATAGTAACGACTTTACCTATTATCTCCATCCTCTGATTTTACATAAAATACATTAAAAATCAAGCAGGAAAAAGCACTTTGTTCGTCCATATCTGCTATTTGAAGAAGTTGCTTTTCAAGGCAATATTTCAAATTTTCTGAAGTTTCTCTCTGTCATTTGATGTTGACAAAACAGTTTAATATTGAAAAGTTTGAGATGATACTAAATGTTTCGCATATACCTGATACACATGTGAAATACGTGTATTTTGTTAGATGCATATAACTCGTGATTGGAAGTTGATGTTTACAATTAAACAAGAGAAGCATAAACGACAAACAACAGTACACAAAACACGATATAGTAAACTGAAGACTGAGCAACACGAACTCCACTAAAACCGGGGTGATCTAAGGTGCACCGGAAGGGTAAGCAGACCTGGTGATCAGTCTTATTCGGTTGATCACATTCGAGGGAAAGAGGACGGATTGTGGTTGCGATAATTCGAACATATCCTTCGTCATCTGTGAAACAGATAATCCATATCGGTATACATGACTTCTCCCATCCAGCTGTAAAATCCATGCTTAAGAGGGGATCTGTTTGGCTCTGCGGGATATATGAATTTGCAGTCATTTCCAGAAGGAAAAAGGAGGTGAAATCTGATGTCTCTTGTAGAGACAGTGCCACGGTCTCTGCACGCTATAGAAATATTGTCAGTTAGGTCTTCTTCCTTTCGTCCGACAGTAAAACCCATGCCAAACTTGAGAGTCAGTTTACTGTGCGGGATGTAAATGTTCGCAGCCACGTTCGGGCAGAATGGAGACGTTAAACCCAATGCCCCGTTTAAAGAGAGTGCCATGCTCTTTGCACGTTAAGAACCATTGCAAAAACCTTTAGAGTGGCTCGTAGATGACCTATTCACAAAGCAAAAGCTCTGTCCCTATCCATTAACCCTAATTTTCCAGTGGAAGTACAAATTTCCACGACCTTCATCCCGGGCGGCTTCTATTAAAGAACCTACCTATTGTATTTATTGCTAATTTGCTCTCGTCCTGCACATGCAAGAAATATTTGTCACTGGGCGTTAAGCAACCAACAATAAATCATTATTTCTTGAACAATCTTCCACGGATTATCTAATAGACTTAATTTGTGACGTCACATATGATACTTCTATTTTCTTCTGTAGGTATCAAAGAAGTTTTTAAAGATAACAAAGCTATCTATATCAGCAGAACCATTAAAAGTATAGTAAACTGTGAAGACCAAGGATCTTTGTCACTCGCATAGACGAAGGCTCATGACATTTGATACATGGATCGTTACACGAGGTCAGAGGAAAATTTTATTACGACTTAAAAATTAACTTGAAAAAATTGTTTACAAGAACGATTTAGGCAAGTTGTAAAAAATGGGAAATGACAAAGGAATGATGATAATTTGTAATATTGACCTCACATTAAAAATACAGGATGAACAACAAACAATTATAATATATCATTCCAGGAGTGATTAATTTTCTGAGTAAAACTGACGGATTTCATCCTACGTTTGTATAGTATTGTATATAAATGTGATATATTTATTTTATATGATTATTAATTAATTGCTTGTGGACGTGTTTTTGTTTTAAATGACATTTAATGTTTAATTCATCATTTACAAAAGATATCAATTAATGTAAATATGATCTATAAGTAATAAATTTAGTTATTACATTTTTTTTATATATAATATTATGGTAAGCATTCATATATTTAAAGAAAATCTTTCCGAATTGTATGAAAAAAAACTAAGGCAAGTATACGAAACACTGGTGCAGCTGACATTTACTTCAGCAATATAGTTTTCTTATATGAATCGATATTCAAACAAACAGTCGATCGTCTTATCGTTTTGCTAACACATTGTTTTCAATATAATGGAATTTCTATGCTACGTCATACAAGTGAGAGGTTTAGCTAGCTATAAAACCAGGTTTAATTCGCCATTTTCTACATAAGGAAATGCATGTACCAAGTCAGGAATATGACAGTTGTTTACCATTTGTTTGAGTTTTTGATTTTGTCATTTGATAAGGGGCTTTCCGTTTTGAATTTCCATGGTATTTTTGTTATTTTACTTTTTGGTCTAATTTAACGGCCCCCCTATTGTCATTTTTTCCCTCACTTTCAGAAGAATATGACTGAAAAATATTAATATCCTATAATTTCAATTTAACTACAGTGATCCTCATTTGATTAGTGAACTTGAATATTTCTATATTTTATAAATAAAGGGACTGTTTACAGTTTACATTTAGAGACAGTCTGAGGTTGATATTTTTTTCTCAAACTTCAATCATGATTTTGTAAAACCTTCATACTATTTCATAAAACTTTGACAGAAGCATTTTCGTGAATAATAGCATTTGAGAGAAATTTGGAAAAATTAATAATTTTATTTTCCCTTATTTTTGCAGTAAAAATTTGCATACAGTCTGTGGTTATAGCTTTATCCTTTGTCAAACCTTAATGCAATTGCTTAAACATGGACAGAACTTTATACCAAGGAATAGCAATTTCAATCGTGTTATTTACTCTCTGATATTTTACTGATAAATTAACTTTTTTTTTAGTTTATATTTTCCTGCAGCATAAGTTTAAACATTTTAAAACATTGATTATCTTTTTCCAACTTCCTGGAAAAATTTTAAAGAATATGTTTCATAATCAAAGATATCATTTGTGGAATAACAGTTTGATTTCTCCTCTTATTTACATAGTTTACTAGACTAATAATTTGACTGTTTATTTTGCAATCAATTTGCTATTTACTATCAATTCCAAGTTTACTATCCACTGGTCTCTATATAATATATCAGTGACCTCCGTAGATAGTAAACTTGGAATTGATAGTAAATAGCAAATACACTTTATTTATAGTATATTGATTTCCTTAGTATACAGAAAAAACGCGAAAATAATTGTACTTATGAAAATTATGCTCAATTTTACAACAGTCCTAAACGGAAGTCTTGTCTATGACCTAAAAGTCCGTCCGATGAGGAAACAATATCCGGACGCCTTTATTTTCGTTTTCTTACCAAAATAATCAAACTGAATAAACATAAGCGAGGATGACAAATGCGATTATGCATGGTACCTATAGGACACAGAGGCATGGTGATTAATTTATAGTGGAAGGAAGAGAAGCGACACACAAAATGAGGTCTTCTCATTAAATAGTATTGATACATTCAAACCTCGTTTCATTTCGTATTTCAGCATTCATATATAATTAACATTTTTGTTTTATCGTAGATATGTTTTTATGATTTTAAAATTTCAAAATTACATTGGATATTATCGGTTGTATACTTACCAATATTATATACATGTGTATGCTTTTATATGTATTTGTAAAGTGAATTTCCCTATTGTTTTCATCTACGTTAAAACAAGAGATCTTTTATCATTGATATGGTCATAATTATTTAACTGATTACAAAATTTAATAAGGCTTTTCTACCTCAGGAATAGATTACCTTAGCTGTATTTGGCAAAACTTTTAGGAAATTTTGGTCCTCAATGCTCTTCAACTTCGTACTTTATTTGGCCTTTTTAAATTTTTTTTATTCGAGCGTCACTGATGTGTCTTTTGTAGACTAAACGCGCGTCTGGCGCAAATACAAAATTTCAATCCTGGTATCAATGATGATTTATTTGTTACAGAATATCTAATGTGGGTCAGAGACCTAAGAACAGTTTTCGTTTTGTATGTCATTTTACGGTCGTAACTTGGTAGATATGTTTTGTTGTTTACATATGCATGTAAAAGGTGAATGAACTGAATAACTACATTTCTACTTGTAATATTATTGAACAATTTAGTGGCGATCGTATTGTTGTACAAATCTGTCCTTGTTTTTTTTTTGTTTTTTTTTTTTTTAACTATACGTCCATTGTATATATAAATAAGAAGATTGTGTTCATTTTGATTACTTATTACTAATACACAAATTAAGAACTGCATGTGTATGGATTTAAAGGACTACTGATTTCACACACACATATTTAAAGCACGAACATTAAGTCATGATAACACAAGTTGAGAATTGGCATGCAGCGGCTTCACATAGTTGAAGATGAAAATAATTTATATTGTTCGTGATTAGTGAATGTTTTTTTTTATTTAAAATTATTCTGTATATATCAGAAAGTTTCGTTATAATCTTTACAAAAGTTATTTAGTAATGTTTTTATATATAAATGGGATAGTATTTTAATACTGTACATGAACACAATAAAAGGATATTTAATTCTGTTTGATTTTATTACTATATTTCTCGTTTGATCTCATTTGTTATTTTTTTCACAGTCCTTGCCAATTGAGGATGCATTGCTTGTCTAAAACTGTTATTGATAAACATTTTATCAGGTATAAAATGTACTTCACAGATCAATGATGTGTAAAACGTGCAGTGTTGCGCCGTTGACAATACCTTTTGTCACCCGTTCCGGAATCTTTGTCGTTGTATATTAGTTGCAAACTGCGATTGACACAACAAATAAATTTAGATAACCATACTGCTGGAATAATTGCTGAGACTGTACGAAAATGATCAGTTGTATGAACCTAGTGATAATAAATGCTGCATTACAACCTTTGCTATTGAATAAAACCGATTTATCTTGAATAGTGCATGTAAGTCTAAGACGGAACACAATGGAAATAATCTCCGCTAGAAAATTTGTAGTGCAAGGTCAGTTCTTTCTAGTTTGATATTCACTTGAATGAATTAGTCCTCTCCGGTATCATTCGCTGAGTATGCACATTTGGAGTAGTTGCGTAGGCTCAATTTTCCAACCCTACCCACATCTCTATTTCTTATGGTAGTTAAAGTTCGTTTTTCTTTTGCGTTTCATCCCGTCCTAAATTTTTGAATAAATTTCGTTTCATATTAATTTTTTTTTCTAAATAAAAATACTGTTATTTTGGTAGTTAGTTAGTTTTTAGTTTCGGATTGTAAAACAAACAGCACAAATAATAAGTTGTGTGAATCACGTTTAAAGATTTAACCGGGATCCCCAAAATTGTACATAAAGTTTTCAAAGATATCGAAGTTAAAATGGTCAGGAAACTCTCTGATGAATGTTATTTAATAAACGTATCGAGAGCACTAGAAACGGTTATTAAACATTTATTTTACTACTATCGGGTTGGTACCGTTGCTAATCAATCCTGGGTACAACAGCAAAGTAGTCGGAGCTGGCACAATTAAAATGAAACATTTGTTATTAAAATTTTCAGTTTTTAAATATAGATATGTACTAAAACTATGGTTAAAAAACGAAAAACGATAAGACATACTACATTAAAAAATTAGATGTGGTTCGATTGCCAATGAGACAACTCTCCATAAGAGACCAAATGACACAGAAATATAAACAATACATTTGTTGAGATGAAATAAACTTAATATCTGTTGAGATGTATATAATATGTATAGTAAAATGCATCTTAATTGTGCATTTGTAATAGATATAAATTAACTGTTTACGTACATCTTTACTGAAATACAGTCTATATACATTTTCACAGATAACACTATCTTTACATTATGATTGCTTTTATCAAAGTAGCTGTGTTAACACTACATACAAAACTTAAGAATGAGCAACACGAACCCCTTCAAACCGGCGGCGATCTTGGGTTTGTTGGGAGGATGAATTAATCCTGCTCTAAATGGGACAGCCGTCTTGTTGTTCATGTTAATGAAAATTCGGTTTCATGTTTCATTCGATCGTGTCACAATTAAACACCTCCCTAATATACATTTTGTGTTGAATTACCCCATATAAAAGAGAGGCCAAAGATATCAAAGGGACAGTCAAACTCATAAGTCGAAAAAAAATGACAACACAATGGCTAAAAAAGAAAAAGACCAAAAGACAAACAATAGTACACAAAACACAACATAGAAAACTAAAGACTGAGCAACACGAATATAACTATTGCTATTATGTGAAAAACATCAGTTGAGTAATGAAAACTTTAAAAAGTGTATAACGGTGCAATTGTTATCTTAATGTTTTACAGTCCGAACACTTTTGAATTACTTCAAATAACTTTTAAAGGTAAAAAAATATGTTTAATCCAATTCATGATGATACTTTTCGTAACTACCTGTTCCGGTTTTAAATTTTAAATGTTGCATGGTAACTACCGGTTAAAGGTAAACCAAATTGGTTAACTAGTTGACTCAAATAAAATAGAGCAGGGGAAAATAAAAAAATTACCTTGAGGAAGTAGCAAGCAGTTTCACTGCAGAATTTGAAAAATAAGTCGCCGTTACCTTCACAAGTAAATCAATATTGATCTGAAACGGTCATTTTAACTGAACAACTAAAAAAAAACAAACCATTAGTTATCAAGTCATTTTCATGTTTATGCCCCACCTACGATAGTAGGAGGGGCATTATGTTTTCTGGTCTGTGCGTCCGTTCGTTCGTCCGTCCGTCCGTCCGTCCCGCTTCAGGTTAAAGTTTTTGGTCAAGGTGGTTTTTCATGAAGTTGAAGTCCAATCAACTTAAAACTTAGTACACATGATTCCTATGATATGATCTTTCTA